GATAATGAGAGAAAAATACAGAATAGATTTATGAATGCTCATTGTACTATGATGACATTTTTGGCTTGAATGCATTTATAAATATGACGTTATGAGAATAATCTACGGCATGACTACATGAATGCCCACTGAGCTTCAAATCCCTGCCACTTGTAATGATCACTTCCAGAAAAGCCACATGCCACAAAAAAGCCACATGCCAGTGTCGATGATGGCACGTGCAGAGCTTGTGTGGCCTTTATGAGGCCAAACGAGCTTCCTATAGCGCTAGCGAGTCTCGTTTAGCGGCCTCGCCAGGATCAACCAATAATTCGATAAGGACTTTTATTCGACCAAATGCAATCCCACCAGAAGTGAGCATTGCTTTAGGGCTGAAGATTGTTCTGGACTCGAGATTGATTCTCGCATTTAGAGTACAAAAAATACGAAAAACAGGGCCCATAGGCTGGTAATGTATGGAATTAGGCCAGTTTAACAAATAAAGTGACTTTTGTTCTAAATTAAAAGTTTTTATTTGACAGTACCGGCTCAATTTATAGGTTCTAGGCTAAAATCTGCAATTTGAGAGCGCTAAAGCCAAAAATAATTTTATTCTAGAGCAAAGTGGAGTTATATTCATCGTTGTTTCTGCCGCTTAGGTTTATGAATAGAATTTAAATGTGTTGATATGAGGATGGTTCTCTCCTTGCGAATTTCAGGGAGGGTCCAATGCATTTATTTCTCGCTTGCGCATCTTGATTGTCGCCACAGGCGTCAATGATTATCCTCTTGATGGTCTATTGCTATGATCCGCTAGACGATCTAGCCTGATGATCTTCTTGATAATCTAGCCTGATGATCTTCTTGAATGATCTAGCCTGATGATCTTCTTGACGATCTAGCCAAATGATCTTCTTGATGATCTATCCTGATGTTCATCTTGATGATCTAGCCTGATGATCTTCTTGGCGATCTAGCAAAATGATCTTCTTGATGATCTAGCCCGATGACCTTCTTGATGATCTAGCCTGATGATCTTCTTGATGATCTATTCTGACTATACATCTTGATGATCTATCATGGTGGTCCGCTTGATGATACTTTGGATGATCTTCTTGAAGATTCTTCTTTCCGTTAAGTGCGGCTGTTAAGTGTTGAGTAACAACTATACAACTTATCAGAGGATACGAAATAAATGATTTAGAGCAATAGTTCCATTTATTGTTTGAAATAATTTACGTAAATTTTGTTTTTAAATTAATTTTAAAACACATTCAAAATTCTTTCGATGCTTTCTCATGTATTGTATAAAAAGTAAAAATTTTATAAAATATGATTACGTAAATTATTTTGAACTCAAATGTGAAAATACTGGGAACGTAAAATTAATGGTCAAATTAAGCAATTCGAATTGATGTTTCCCCGACGTCTTAACTCCTTGAAATTCAAACGCACTTTTTCGCGGTGCGGCTCCAGGAGCAATTGAGTTTTGGAGAAATTCGAATTTCAAATCCCGATCGTGTCGTTCCTTTACTCGCAATCTGAATGGCAGCAATACACGAGCATCGCACCAATCAAGATCACGATCAGCATTTCAATTCTAAGTAATATCTCCCCTTGTAGAATCAATCAGAATTTGATAGTTGTAGAATTCCATTCTGTTGCGTCTTCAAGGCACCCTCTCCAAATCTAATTAAGAAAAACCTTGTAATGCTTTTAGCTTCATGTCCATAAACAAAGACTACTTTACAAATGGTCAAAATTGATATTCTGTCATGAATAATGGTTAAGAGAATCCATAGGAAAGTCCTAAGCAAAACGAAAAATATTCCGCGTACATCTGTTTCGTGATGATGCAGCAAAGATAACAGTTTTGTCTTTATGAAGTAAATAACAACTTTTTGCTATAAGTCTCAATGTAGTCTAATTGAGTATGTATTTATTATTCTAGGCTATTATTCAATTTCAAATATTCAATTCTGAACAATTTCCTTCGTCAGTAATACTTTAATCTTCGTACATGAACGACAAGTCACACACTGTGTTTTTACAACCGGATTTCGTATTAATTTATTGTCTTCGAAGGGGAGATATTCTCATACTCGATTGAATAATTAATCTTGACATCTCGTAAAAGTTTCTTTGTAATTACATGCTTTTGATCCTGAAAAAGTTACGCGGTCTTAAAACAAGTCTTTAACAGTAAGGGAAAAAATATATTCTTATTCAACAAAAAATCTAGTTATTTTCACGCGACGCGGTATGTATTTGTTGTGCAGGTTATATTGAGGGCCTTATTTCCAAGGTCTAGCACGTGTAAACAGGTATCCTTTTTATCTGGATTTATTGCTTGTAGGTGACCGGCCGACCTGAGGCCTGTAAAAATAATGCGCACCAAGTCCGCCTCAAAGCTGAGGATCATTTACAAATCTCCAAGTAAAATCGCTTTCTGGAAGCAGTGGCGTGTTATAATAAAAAATGTAACTCAGTACTCACTGCAGTGAGTGACAGAGAGCGCATTTTCTCGTCAACGAAAACGTGAAGTCACGGACGGACAGACGGACAGACGGACGGACGGATAGACGGACATAGCGAGCACAATAGTGCCTTTCTTCCATATATGAGAAAATGCGCTAAAAAGGGCACGTAATATATGTTAAAAAATTTGGGACATATAATTACTGTGCATTTCATGAATGTCGGTCATTGATAATTCGATAAATATTTGTGTTGAAATTCATATAATCATAACTTTGCAAGCTGCGAATATCCCGCAATGTTTGAAAAATCCTCCTAATTTATCCTCAGATATTCTCTTTATTTCGCCTGACACTAAAATAAATTCAGTTTCATTGTCATCCAATTAAAGCTTTGATCGTTTGAGATTCTCTTATTTAACTGCAGGTGAAGTACGTGAATAAAATCTTACTTATAAAAATAAGAAAACCATTTACCTGTATTACACACATCAAAAAATTTCTCATTTATATTTTTTCATTCATTAACGGATCGAAAAATGTACAGGACAGATTATATTTATTTTCCGATTCCAAACAAATTTTGTAATTCACATTTAATTATAAACAAGAAATTTTCTTTCTGGATTCAATATGTATCATACTATTCCGACAGTAAAACCTTCAGGTATTAGGATAACCACAGTTCCGGCAGCAAATTTCCTTTTTATTTACTAAAAAATGTATCTGCAAGAACAAATATAAATATATTAACCCTATAAAATTCAAAGTATGCCCATAATATTCAAATATATATTGAATAATCATCAGAACTACTAACAAGTTATAAGAAGGCATAAGTTAACGCACCGAAATATTGTGGGCAGTTTTAACGCGGGCTACGAGCAACTGTGCAAGCATGGAACTATTTGATTATTTGCGTCGATTATCTTTACATTCTAAAGGTCAAATAAGCAAGTGAACCATAGGAGCGCATAAGAAATAGACTATTAAAAATATGCCAGCGAAAGGTCCGTTAAAATACTTACACTGACTATGATCAAATTTTAAACAAATTCATTGTTGTCATTAAATATTGACGAAATTTTTCCACTAAATTTTTCATTAATGATAATGCATCATAATTTACTAAGAGGTAGATCAAGCATTACCCAAAATATATCATGTTTCGTTTGTTCAAGATTACTTTCAATATCAAACATATATTGTTCGGTAAGATATATGGATCACCCTCGGATGATCAACAGACGGTTTTGCTGCTATCACAACAATTTTGAAAAATCTTGAGAAATAATGCTTGACACAATAATATTGTTGCAAACACAAATTGTTGCAAACAAGCAACAATTTCATCTGAGAATTTGAAATTCAAACGATATACGAATTCTGTAAATTTACTGATAGGATAATTTTATTTATTCAAAAATTGGAAATTGGAATTTTCACTAGAAATTTAATTTAATTAGCTAGTAATTTAATTAGTCAGACCTGACTGGCGAAGGCAAGCCTTTGGGAAAAATTGTGACGGCATTTTTTCGTGGATGCTCCTCTCATCCACGATACAAAAAGTAAGCGTTAAAGCTTAGCCACTAAATAACAGAACTGCATAATATAACGCATATATTATATGGTACAACAGAGGATCAAATTTAACTCAGTGGGCCATAACACCGTCCGTTGAGCCAGGCGTAAATAACGCTCATGAAAGGCAAATAGCTCGAGCAGAGAGCGCCTGCCACTAACAATTAAATTGTCCCAATGGCATGCCATAGATCATGAGCAACTGTGTACAGAGATACACTAAGACACACGGGTTCATTGCTGAGTACCAACAAATTTGAAAAACTATGTTCAATCGCAGCATGAGAAATAGGAATTTATTTTAAGCTAAGCGTTTAATTTAGTTGCTCTGATCAATTAAAAAAAACGTTAACACGCTTTTTAATTTTACGATGACCGCCGATTTTCAGTTGCACAATCATGCCAGTAAAATAAAGCAATAAGACATTTTAAACTTGAAAACTTAAAAATACATTTTCCTTGACATCCCTCGCTCAACTCAGTTAAGCTGTATAGCAATGTGAGATGTTGCAATTATAGCACTGAACTTTGCATCTTGCTGGAAAATATAACATATTTTTCAATGTCAGGAAAATGGGACATGAAATTAAGCGCAATGCATTGTACGTACAGATTAATACCAAGAACATAAACATGAAAAGTCTCGCTGGCTTTTTAAAAGAGAATATTTTAATTAACTTGGTTTGTTAATGAAAGCCCGCGTAAAAAAATAAGTGATGTTTACAAACGCACTCGAGTAATCCCACAAACAGCACGTGTGAACACATAACATTCATGGAGATGCTTCTGCTAATTTCTTTATTAATATTTATTTTCGTAAATGTGAACGATGCATTTAATATTTTCAATATATAGAGCTTGTTCTTGTTTGAGAGGCATTTTGAGAAAGGGTCCATGATGCAAACGGCAAATAAAAATTACAATGTACGAAAATATGTTCAGAAACATTTCAGAAAAATAACGACAGTGCTGGGGTCACCCAGGTTCGTCCAGCCGTACTTATAGTACTTTAACGTGGACCCCAACAAAGGCTTGCAATAAAAGACACTTCCGAAACCACTCTCTTGAAATCTGTAGTTTCAAAAACTCTCCTAATGGAAAAAGAACAAAGAATAAATAACCTAAACTAACAAATAAACGTACAAAAGACAAAGTATGAACAAACCTTCTCATGAATAATCTAATCTAATCTAACTTTACAGAATATAACAGAATAAAGAACATCTCGGAATAATCACAAAATGTAAAACACATGAACAAACAAATAAATAAAGTTAAAACACACCTTGACACTGTGGGTTCACATGCGGGACTGACCAGGACGGACTAAAGCCTACAAATCTAACTTCCGCATTTCTAAACTGAAAATTAAAATTACAAAAATACAAAATTATAACATACTAAATTCTAATTCCCTAACAACAGTTAATATCCAAGCTGAAATAAAATTTTAAGAATTCAAAAGTATAAAATTAAGATTGGTTGGTTCGACGTCGAGAAAACAAGATATCTGGACAGAAAACGGAAAAGTCTGTAAAATCATAACCAAATTAAATCATTTTTGAAATAATAATTGATATCTCGACAGTTCTTTCTGTCTATCAAATTAACTTCTCTCCTTGAGACAGCCGCGCCCGCCATCGTCAGCAAACAGAACTGAAGTTCATCATTAATCTAGTTAACAACGTTTTAATGTGAATCCATTGATTATTAAATGATCTAATATGGCTGCAGAAGAGTAGTGATTATGCAATCTTTCATATATTCACACTGGATAAAGTTCAACATTCGTTCTCACGCCTATTTTTGATCTCCAAAAGTTACGTATTGTGTAAGTAACGGTCAAATAGAAATGAATTCAGACTTCGGAATCTCTTTAGATTGTATACCTCTCTTTAGAAAATTGTATACCATCTATTAAACAATTTTTCATCAAATAAATAGTTTCATACATAAATGTGAGTCAAAAGACCAAGAATCACGCTAACTGGTTCACTGCGATTAATTTTTAAATTTTTGAATGTCCAGCTCCTGTTGGTGGGACTCAGTCCCGTCTGGAATGTCTTTCTCCTTCTTGTCTCGGTTCGTCTATCGCTTTGACAAACTGAAACATGATTGGCTCTAGAAAGACAGGGGCACTAGATCGAGTGATCGACAAGGAAAAATGACATCAATGGAAACTTGGATTGCAATCCTATCTGATGTATAAAAAAACGTAAGGTGATTTTTCTACGAAATTATCGTGCTGCTCCAAAACGCTTACCATTGAACCTGAACACCGAGAAAAATCTAGAAACTCATCTCCAAGACTTGATTAATCATCTTTCATTAAAAGATTTTATTCTGTTAAAATTTTAGACAATTTTGCCTGCGATGAAAACAGATCCTGACACCTAATGCAATTTCACACTAATTTTTGGAGGTATCTGGTTCTTTCGTGTGAGAAAATAGTCCAGGATTCTTGATAAAATAAAAGAATGTTGATGGACTGAAACAGAAACTAATTAAATTTTATTTTGGTAGTTATTTATGCGACCTTTAGTGCAGATTTCCTTAGCTTTTTAATTTACTTGTTAAAGGTTGTAATTGAATTTTCGAGAGCGCTGGCTCAAGCATTTTGATTCTAAAATTTATTGTTAAAATTGGCTGTAAAATTTACGAGCTTTGTAATCTATTTATAAGCGTTTTATTTATATTCAGTTAGAAAATTACTCACAATTTTACTACTATTATTGTGTGTAATCAAAACTCAGGATATATGTTAAAAATAAACTTTGAATTGATGTAAGTTCCAAACCACATCAGGTTGAATTCGAGTAAACAAAAGATGCCAGTCGAACACCTCATTAGCTCATTAGCTGGTCAGGCGAGCAATAATTGAATATGTTTTGCTCACTCTCTCTTATTTGGGTGAAATCATTCAGAAGACAAGATGGAATTTACTGAGCGAAATGTGGATGTTTCGGAAATAGGTTCCAGTAATTCATTTTAAATTAAGTTCAGTAATTCATTTTAAATTAAGTTCTGAATATTTAAAAAGCATAAGAAGTTAACGTGATACATTTACTCGAATCTTGTTCTTCATCAAGCTAATGAAGAGGCTTCCTGGGTCGCTCCATGAATTTCTCCGATATTCGGTCCCCGCAGACATGGATATAGTCATTGGGGTCATACCAATATTGGACTTGGCTCGATTCAATTTTAGTGCCCTTGGCGTGGTCATTTTGAGCTGCTTTCTCGGCTTCAAAATTGGTGACAATTCCACCCAAGAACCACTTTGCTTGCTGTTTTGGCGCTGTTCCAATACCCTTCATTCAGTTATTTGATGATGTTGCTAAATCCGACTTGGCTCACCAAATTTCGTTGATTATTCAGCTTTACCATCTCCTTGGCGGTAGCGTTCAAGAAGACAAAATTCAATAAGAAATCCCATCAGAAAAGCGTAAATATTTATTATGAGGACGATCTAGGTTACGAGTAATTTATAACTCTACTATTATAATTTTGAAAAAAATTCGACCTGCAAGAAAACTTCAGATAATACCAAATGTAGCATAAAATTCAACTTGTTTCGTGGTTGCCAAATTAAAAATCATACAAAAAATATATTACATTTAAATATAATGTCTTAAACTGAAAACAGCTTTATGGCAAACCCTTCTCTTTTTATTATTCGGAGTGCACCAATTGGAAATTGTTGCAAAAATATTAGCTTTACAATAGCCTCCCAAGAGCCTCCCTCCATAACTTCATATTCTTAATGAATAAATCAATCGTGCATTGCATAAAAAATTCCTGCTTCAATCCCAGGAAAATCATTAAACGTTGACGTGAAGAGAACAATGCTTGAACATGGACGCGTTTCCGTGTGCTTTATGCTCGGCCTCGCTAAATTAACGTATAAGCGCCCTTGCGGAAAATCTAATAAACGATGTGATCAAGGATAAACATGCGTGCGTGGAACGCTGTTATTCCCGCGTACTTAGCACCTTTGGATGAGGAGGCAGTAAGGGTGGAAATTGTGAGGCGTTTTACCTGATTGGCATTTCCGGGGTAATTAGGTCAGTTTTTTAGCAAAAAAAATTGAATTTTTTGGGACGAAATAAAAGTGATTTTGAATTAATAAACCCGTAATTATCGGTCATACATCTCATCAATCAGAGACCGAGATGGTCATGTCATCTGGCTCTTTAGAAACTTTTTAAGAATTTGTGCCGAGTGCCAAGCTCCCTAGTTGTCAAAAATAATTTGCCTAAAAACTTAATGTTCTTCGCACGTGGTCAGTGATATCGAGTGTCGTGCCAGCTTTTACGACAGATTTTTTTATTTTTAATTATTATCGGGAAGAGTGGAGGTGCAGCATTACTAGCTGCATTTTAGTACAGGAATTTTTTATTTCATTTACGGGAGTTTTGTAAAATTTCAGCTCCACTAGATTTATCAATCAATCCAAAAAATATTATTGTTAATAGATTTTCTGTGACACGGTAAAATTCGAAAATTAAAAAATTATCTTCAAAAATTATTTTGCTTAAGAAGGACGCGTTTATAGTTAGAACTTATTTATTTTGTAACATTGATAAGAATAGTATTTAATCATATCTTTATTCATCATTTTTATTTAGTTTCAGTTTGGATTATAGTCTGAATTTTTGCAAAACCTATTTGAAATTGAGGGTCTCGCTCCAATTCATTCAAAGTTCGTTATTCTGCCATATTATTTCTAATATTTAGTCCAACTTTTCGTTGTATACTCTCAAATTACAATGACTGAATTACCTTCTTCATCAAGGAAAATGAGAATTAATAAGAAAACTTCCACACTTGTTTTATTCACTACTGAACAGAATGCCACTTCGACCACTCAGTCACAATACATCTGCGATTGCACGCTTCGCCAATTTGGAGTGATAAGCGAACCGAAGACAGAAATTCAACGGCTTATTACTGGCCGACGATTGCTCGCCCAATATTTTGATATAGCACATGCTTCGGGCTATGCCTTTAATCAAAGCGATCGCCATCCGCATCATGACATCGGGGAATCCCTGCGGCGCGGTCGGCATTGACTTCCATCAACAGAACCTCAACCCAAGTCTATGGATCTCTCACCACAACAAACGATGGCTGTTGCTACCACCTTGTCTTGGAGTGTGTAACGGCGGCCGTGGCAGATTGCTTCGTTTCCTTAGAGACTCAGAATTGGATTCTCGACGAAACTTGACATCAAACAACATCATCGTACTACATCGTACATCGCTAGAAAATATGAAGATCCTGAATGCTACTGTTATTCAACGTTCAATTTTTATTATTTCAGTGTATTAGATTAAAGTTGAAGTGAGTATCTCTAAAAGTGTAATGATGTTTTTTATAAACAACAAGAGCAAAATTATGCCCTATGAAAAATATCATGAAGTCTACGGATGCTTTGTTGCAGACTTCATTAACTCTGCTTTCGGCTTGCGCTTCATATCGCAACGATTGCGTTATTGTTGGACGTAAAAAAAAAAAATAAAATAGGTCACACTAGGAACAAACTAGTAGTCACTATTTAACAGTTTATTGTAACACTCGAGAAATACGGCTGAATGTAAATAATTTATTATCTACTCTAATGTTGAAAATATACGAAAATTAACTAATTAACTAATTTTATAGTAGAATTTAAGCAAACAGATTATTTGAGTGGATGAACATAAGGTTACTTTGGGTGCGTAATTATTTTTAGTTTAATTTATACACATTTTGAATTTATTTTGACCCCTTATATCTATTGCTATGAACTTATATAGATGAGTTTTGTCTATATATTTTATATCAATTAAGTTCCAATGTATTACGGTCAGATCATCAGAAACTAGAGATACATTATTGACTCTGTGTTCCAGTGCTTTACTCCCACAGTCTAGCCGCTTCTGCACCGTAAAAGACAATCTATTCCTGACGAACAATAGCCCTGACTGGGAGCGAATATCGCTCCAGCGCAGCCAATATCAATAATAATCAAAAACGCTTTCCCCGCATGGCAGACTTCGCTTTAGTTCGCGTGCGTGTGGAGGCGCCAGTGTGACTCTGCAGGCATTCACGATATTGAGGGAGAAATTCCGCATCCATGAGCGCAGGATCATAAGAAACTTGCAACAAACTTAGATCTTGTGTTTGTTAGCTATTGATGTTCAATGAAGAATATTAATAGTTACTAAGTACTTCTCAAAAATAAAATAGTTTATTGGAATGTTTTGTGACTATAAATGATAGATCATCAAAGCTATTAAATATAAATAAAATTATCAGGTATTAAATAATTTGATAATTTTTTCTTCGATGATGAATCTAACAACGCAGATAGGAAAACTTTGAATGATATGCTCCTGGATA